ATACATACATTTATATTACTAGTTGTTATCAGTGTTTCTAAAAAACTACTCTACATTCATTCTGATATCTTGTGTATTGCATACGTCTCTTTCCAACCAATACAACAACATCAACACAACCACCGACGAAGCGTGTCTGGGTCGAAGGAGATTGTTGTCCGGTTCCTGCAGGGCAGCAAGAGCTGCAGCACCCAACGGTTTCAGGCAACATATATGAGTTTCATGAAGAGGTCTCGCAGCAAAATTATGTACAAGGTCTGGAGGGAAGAGCTCAGACTAGTTGAATCACTGCAGTAAAAGGCACCAGGTGCCATATAAATGATTTTGAACTGAAACCTGAAGTCATGGCTCAGAAGGATCCCTGCAACAACTTGATAATCTGACACTCAAAGAGATAACCAAACTAATCTCTCGGACCTAAGTCCGAAGTATTGATAAAACTATATCAGTATATGAAAGCCGCAAAATAGAACAAGAGTACAGCATATCAGCACCATGAGCTTTGTACGAGTAGACCAAACAGTTCATCACAAGGTTACCACAATCCTCATATAAGAAGCATACTGCATTGCATCCTAAGAAGGATGAAATGCGGAGTTTCAACTACCATTTTGCACATGAAGTTATCCCCACATTCCCAATCTTGCCAATGTGGTGGTGGTGTAGGCGAAGTTAAAGAGAAAGGACGGCACAAGTGCACACCAGCTGATGAAAGCCATTGTAACAGCAGTCCTCAACCTTAAACAAGGAAGGGCTTCGCAGTACTTCACATCATTATCAATCAGAATAGTGATGCCTGCCGATGCACATGCTGCACTCAAGGTTACGGTCCCTGTGATCTACAGAAAACATCAAGGTGAAAAATGGATGAGTTTCAGGGAAAAGAAAAATGCGCTTCTTGTTAAGAAAGTCATTTGCTATTCATGAATTTGAAACATATTAACGTACAAGTCTAAAATGAATGACAGGCGGTTGTTTGGTTCAGGTGCCTGAGAAAATATGACTCACCCAGTCTCCAACGAAAAATATGCGTACAGCTCGGAGATTTAACAAGGAACATTTGACAAGAAGTGCATAGATATACACAAAGGCTAGTGCGATGCTCCACAAACATTGCAGACTGGTAGCTGCTATGAGGTAGCTGGTCAGAAGAACAACAATAAGTTAAGTTCTTCATTTATAGAAGAGAAACAAAATCAGGTATTGAGTTCTAATGATGCCAACATCCAAGGTGAAAAAACTATGATTTTACCTAATTGCTCACAGAAATTAGATACACCAAAGTAGTACTTTTCATGTAAATGAATACTATCTCCAAGTAGATCTCCAATTTTTACCTCAATGACATGCATTCACATGATTTGCCTATCACAATCACAATATTCTGAATTTTAGTAACCAAAAAATATTAATCCACTTATCAACAGAAACAACAAAATGCGTTTCGAAACTATGCATACAAACACCAGCTCCTAATCTATCTATTCTATTATATATATATTAAAAGCACACAATTCAAAACAAAAATAGAGAAATATCATAGAAATTACCACAAAAATCAGAAACATCCAACCATTAATCTTGTAGGCCCTGTGGCAACCATCAAAACATTAGTCGATGGAACTTCTTAAACCATCCCCTCCGAGATTAATCGTTGCTATTAGATTGAGACTGGACAGCTCCTCGCGATAGAAAAAAAAGTGACAACCACGCCCGTGTTGTCATCATCCCCCTTTTTTCTTTTTTAAGAACCGCCCCCTTGGCAATTTATATTTAACTAATAGGCGGATTCGCATCCGATTGTACAATGTCAATCAGGAAAGCAGGATTGAACCGTAGCTGCTCTCACCGGCGCTTGCAAACAGGATTGAACAGTAGTGCAGATTATACAAGGTACCGTCGCTTCCTCTGTGCAGAGTAGATCAGATCAGATAGATGACAAGCTCGACCGTGGAACTTCTACACTGTTTCCATCGCACCGCTTTATGAATAAAGAACAAACAAAAGAACACGGCTGAATGATACAAGGTAGTGAGAAAGCCCTCTTACAAAGCAAATTCCAGGATAACCTGACAACATAAACGCACGCAACTACGTTGCCTAGAAATAATACAGGTAGGCCTGAATACGACGCCGCGACACACCCTATGACACCTAAGCTCCACGACAACACACTGAGGAGGGGGAATGACACAAAGCATCGCTGCTGCCGAGTCCGAGACGGACAAGGTTCTTCACCTGGAGCCCTGGCATGAAGAGGAGAACCACAACGACGTCCTCGAGAGGGGAGCAGTGGCAGAGCTGCAACACCAAACCTGGGCGGGCCAATACAAAGAAAGCCAACTATTTTTACCAGCTTTGCCTAATTTACCCATCCAATCTCTTAAACACGCTACAGGATGGGCGGGCCATAGCCTATTTCGCTAAGCCGTAGCTCCGCCAGTGGAGGGGAGAGGGTACCCACGGGCATCGCCACTGTCAGCGTCAAAGCAAGGAGCTTTCGCTGGACAGCTCACATGTGTCACCAAGAGGCCTCCTACAGGACAACCACGTCACGCATGAGCCTCCAGATCTGGTTTTGGGCGTCGCCACTGTCCATGACAAATAGCGAGCCTGAGCCACCCACCGCTGCACCCCTCACTGCCCCCTCTGCCAAGAGGCCACCACCGCCGTCATGGTGCCCACCAGATACCTAACCATGCACACCGCCACCCAGGGTTGCCGCCCCAACATCCATGGTGAGAGAAGCCACCAACCGCCCACTTTACAGCCCGTCAACCACGGTAGGAAGAGCAGAGGCACCTCATCCTACTCGTAGACAGGACTTGGCCTAGCGAACTCGCACGGCGCCACATCCATGGACTTCCATCCATCCACCGGCGCAGCGATGTCCCCACCACCACCATTACCCGCCGCGCCCGCGAGAAGAGGAACTCACTACTCGTGAGCACCACTTGGACCGAGCCCAGCGCCTCACCTACTTGGAGCGACAGCTCTGACCCGCCCTAGGCCCATATCTAGCCCACCCAAGTGCGAGACCTAGGTCCGGACCCTCTCTGTCGCCACGGGCCCAGGAGAAGGAAGGTCGCCACCACCACCCGCACCCCCCGCCGCCACAAGCGTGTCGGCAACCTGTGCAACCATCATGAGCTCTCACCATGGCGTCAGCCGAATTAGAACACACCACTGTAGCCCAACTCCCTGCACCACCCTCGCTGATCGCCGCCTCGGCGTCAGATCCGACCAGATCTGGCTGGGGACCAGCCCGCAGCCCGCGCACAACAGCCCGAGGAGAAGACACCACAGCCGGTGCACCACGTACAAGCACCAAACTGTTGTTGTCCCACACGCTCGCCGTTAAGTCCCGCGTCACCCTAGCGCCCTCGCTCGAGAAGCCGCCCCACACCGGTCGGGCTTTGCCTGTAGGCGGCGGGGGAGAAAGGCCGAAAGGAGAGACTCGTGGCGTGCTGCGGTTTGCCCTTGGCCACCCACGAGAGCGACGTGGGTGTGGGGATTCTGAAAATGAAACTCTCCCTCTGCGTTTCTGATAATTATGTAAATCATTTTTGAAGCCCAGAGGTGATGCTCTCCTCTTCAGGATGTCGTTGCGGTTCTTCTCTCCGTGCCAGGTTCAAGGTGAAGGCCTTTGTGCATCTCGAACACGGCAGCGGCGACGTATAGCGCTGTTTCCCCTCCTGAGGGCATTGTCATGGAACTTAGGTGTCCTGGGGTGTTTTCTTGGTTTTGTATTCAGGCCTACATGTGTAATCTTTCGGCAACATAGTCGCGTGTGTTTAGGTTGTCCAGCTATCCCAGGATCTACTGTGTAAGAGGGCTTCCTCACTAGTTCTATCGTTTGGCTGTGTACTTTGGTTTGTGCTTTATCTATAAAGCGGGGCGAAAGTCTGTTCCGAGATTCATAGCCTTATGTCAGCTGCTCCAGCCTCGTTGGATTTCGTCCTCCGCACATGACGCATGTCTCTCACTCATTCCATATTTCCTCCTTTCAACTCTAGAAATAAAAGCGCCATCAAACTGCACATGCACATTGTTGTCTAACGTACATCCCTAGGCTTGCCCGAGCACCATACATACAGAACCATAGGATGCACTCCTGGGAGTGGTGTTGCAATTGTGACTCGTGCCGGGCAGCGAGTAGGTTCACCCCTTAAACTCTACCATCATGGAGTGAAGGAGGTCCAAGTTTCCAACACACGTAAATGACCGGCACCATTTACTATTAATGCGAGGTTATTAATTGACGAGGTTTTTGTGGTTGCAAAGGCGTGGAAAAATGCCGGAGGAAGAGAAAGTAAGCTACAAACTTCTTAGGTAATGCCTTACAATAAGAAGTATGCATAAAACATGGCCAATAGAAGTGATTACATTGGTCTAATGTATTTTGGAATTCAGAATTCAGATAGGCAGCCTGCCCCAACTTGCTTGGGATAAAAGGCTTTATTGTTGTTGTGGAATTCAGCCAGGCGACTAATGAACTAGTCATCCATAGTTGTAATTAAAAAAATTGGGAATACAGAGGAGATCTGCGTGCCGATGTATTAAGATAAGAGAGAAATAGAGTACCACCACCCAATTACAAATAGAGGTTTTGTTACAGTTGCTTTGACGCCCCAAAAGCAGCCAAGAACCACCACCCCGCCAAACAGCCCTACAAGCAAAATTACGGGATTACTGTCCTAAGGCTATTGTTACCCACCATCCTCCAATCACCAACCAATAGTCGTATTAAATCAATTGGTTGGCATAATACATAGAGGATTAGAACTCAGTTGATTTTTCTTGGCACACATATACAAGTGATTAGGAGGCAGATGTAAAACCGCATCAAACTAAAAGCAGCTACATGTCTCTAGGAGTGAATATTTTGAGGAGTTACTTGGGGATGAATAGAACAACATACTGATTGTTTCTTTTAAGTTGCCAGGGACAATGGGTGAAGCATAATATTCTTCTTGGTTTTTCTTTACTAAAAATTGTATTGCTTCAGGTATAGCATGATATTTAATATCAATGAGCTCATAAGTCTTATTAAAAAAATGTAGCGAACAAAGATGTTGCCTGGAGCATATCACTGTCACTAACTTGGTGGATGATAGCTGAATAATTATTACCAAGACTGATTTACAACTGTTAAACCATCATGATTGACCTATATAAAGCATAGTTGTAACTACTGGACCTAAAAAGTATCACAACCGTTAGTTTAGATCATAATTATATATTTGGACATAACTACATTATTAATTATACCTAATAAACATACATATTTCTTCATAATTTTGCATCTACCATCTCACATGTGTTAGATCATCATAACTATATCTAGACAGATCTTCATAGTTGTACCTAAACACAGATAGATTTTCGTAGTTCTACCTAGACATATTAGATCAGATCATATTACATAAATGCCCGTAACTTGATCTGGTGACTCATATGGTGGACATTTATATGGACCACAACCGATCGACCATCATAACTAAATGTAAATATTAATCGATGTAAATCTGGTGTGTCTTAATGATTATTGGAACACATTTTTTTCCAGAAAACACAAAAGATTTGCGCTTCAATATATTAAGATGAGAACAACATTCGCTTTGTACAGGAAGAACTACACTGTGATCCCTCGCCCTAATCCCCAGACGAATGACAGTGAAGGTTTCCACAATACCTCTCACCACTATCGTCTGACTTTGATTAGCAATGTTATCGAAGACTCTACCATTCTGTTTCTAGGTTTATATCTCCGCCTATATCTGCTACTAACCTAACTATGTTGATCCAAATGACATACCATAAGTATGCGTACTGGCCTAATATCACATCCAAACAGAACAATCAGAAAATCATGATCCGAACATCAACCAATATCATAGACTTGGTTATGGTTAGCTTTATCTAGTTTGGTAGCAGTTTGTAGTAACAGACCGTATGGTTTCTCTACAAGAAATTGGAGAGGGAGGACTCTCTTTTGCTAAAAAAATGTAGAAAATATCACATAACCTACAAACAAGTGAGTGGTGGCTGACCTGATATACTTATGTACTGAGATAATATAAAAACACGGTCTAAGCTTTAATTACAGATACTGATAACATGTAGAAACAACATGCCAGCTCACGCCCGGTCAGAAAAAGAACGCACTAACTCACGTTAAAACCTACCGACTAGCTGGCTTGCTATCTGAATTTTAGTTTTGGGTGTTGATTTAAATTCACATTCAATCGACACATGTAGACATATAGTTTGGCGTCCTTCCAAATAAAATAGTAACACATAACTTCGAAGATCCAATTTTTTTTGTTTATTTTCCCACGCAATTGCACGGTACCCCATGCTGTGGGTGACTCATCGTCGAGAGATCGGTTGGTCGAGGGCTCTTTCTTTTCAAGTAGTCTCGGTGGGTGAACTCAGCTCCCACAGAAGAAGTCAGTAGTGAATCACAGAACTCATGCATGTAATCAGTGACTAGGGATCGATCAATCGGATGCAATCAAATCATACAAAAAGAATTGGAAAAGGGATTAGTTTCCACAGAAACGTTTATGACCAGCAAACAAAACTAAAAGCATTTCTTGAGATACTCTTTATGCTGCATCCAAGAAGACAGCTGAGATAACACCACAACGAACATGATCCAATTGTCCAAATCAATTTTACAGAGCGTAAAATATTGAAATGCATGAATAGATATAAATATTCTCTTTCTGAAGGAATTAAGGAACCCTAATAACCTTTTCGATCAGAAACCTGTTCCACATATTATCTCTCATACAGATACTCCGGAAAATCGGATAATTAACGAATAGTCATCCTAAAGCCCATAATCTACACAACTAAATACCGGAGATCTCAACTGAAAAACCCACAGGTAGACGAGACAGGAAGGGTAGGGTGGGGCACCTGAAGGCGGAGCAGAAGGGGAAGATGTCGGTGGACGCCATGACGGCGATCGAGGCGGCAGCGAAGAGGGCCTGCAGGAGGCGGAGGCCGACCCCGCCAAGCGTCCCCGGCGTCCCCTGCGGGATCCTCGTCCACACTTCGGGCGGGGGAGCATCCGCTAGCCCTACCTGCGGCGGCGGCGCGACCACGGCCACCGGGTACACCGCCGACGGCCGGCAAACAGGCAGCATCTCCTTACAGGGGTTTGCGAGATTTCAGAGGCCGGGGAACGAGGAAGAGGAGGCGCTGACCCGAGAATGTCAGTGTTCGGTTCAGTTTGGTCTGGTCGCTCTGAATGTCAGTGTGTCCACGTGAATGAAACTTGGCATTTTAGGGACGACATCTGTCTTCGGCGGCCTCGTATATGTGCACGTTTGGCATATGACTCGCGGAGCCTCCGGTGCCTGCTCTTTCCGGGAAACTTCCTCTGTTGGATATATTAAATTAAAAGACAGAAATAAAAACGCATAATTATATTATATATAAAAATAAAGAAATCAGAAGGCTTGAGGAAGCGAATCAACCTGTGGTTGAGTTGGTTAGGTGGACAGTGGTATCCCCAACCCACCAGGGTTCAAATCCTGGTGCTCGCATTATTTCTGAATTTATTTCAGGATTTCCGGCGATGCGCTTTCAGTGGGAGGAGACGTTCCCGTCGACGACGAGGCGCCTACGGTGACTTTGTAAATCTCAAGATGATATGCGGCTCAGTCTCTCGAAGATGCTCATAGGGGTAGAGTGTGCGTGTGTGCGTTCATAGGAATGAGTGTATGCGCGTGTATATGAGCGCTTTTGTTTGTACTGATGCTCAAAAAAAAGGCTTGAGGAAAAAAATTTGCCCTAACTTGAGCAATTTTTGTGACGAAATATAGCAGAAACGGGTTCTTAGAAAAAAACTATAATAGAATTCAATCTTAAAAAAACAACACTTTTTTTCTTTTCTTTTGAAAAGGGGGATAACCCCTGGTCTCACATCAAGCGATGGACACAACCATTATCAAACAACACACATAGATAACTTTCTTAGGGTTCCATTGCACTTAAATTTCTACAAAAGTCCTTCAAGTCAAAGAGACTCTACTTTCAGTTTACTTCATCTTGAGGTTGGGGATGCGGCCGACGGAGGAGTGTGATGCTGCGGTGGAGGCAACCGGGTCGACATGCTGGATTTGGGGAGGTGGTCGGGGCAAGATTGATGTGGTGGAGGGGTGAGGTGACGAGGTCGGTTGGGTCGGCGAAGGGTACCAGGGATGGGGGATAGCGAGTCTTGTCGGTCAGCGGAGGAATGTCGGGGGAGGGTATGATCGACAGAGAACAGAGGCGGCAAGGGAGCCATACCGTCGGCTTAAAAGCGGAAAAGACAGTGATTAAAAAAATCTAGAAGCCCAAACAAACAAGCCTCCATCAATCTTGAAATTCTACAACCACAATCATTAGACCCTGTGTTAGTGTATGCGTGTATACTTGTACATTGCCCTCGGTGTATTGAAAAAAAAATCTACATTCATTCTAATATTTTTGTGTTGCATTTGTTTGTATTTCTCGGCAAGATAAGAACATGTTGATCAACACAGCCATGGGGGAGATCACTGTCATTTTATTGCAGGGTAGCAAGAGTTGCATCATTTCACGGTTTCAAGTGCGGTATTTAGATTTCTTGGAAACCTAGCCGAGCGTTGCTCGGTTGGCTAGCTGCATGAATGTGCACGCTGTCCACCATCGTCCAGCTCTATGTTGTGTGCTAAGGCTAGTCATAGTAAGAGTAACTTAGCTAGTAACATAACATATTTTGAGAAATTTTTGCTTAGGCTAGTCATAGTAGGAAGTAACTTAGACTAGTGTCATGCATATGCCACTAGTCTTTGTTATTACCTTCATAGTGCAAAGTAACATACAAGTAGTATTATAGATAATAGCATTTATTACGTTATAGACTCATTTTGCTTTGGATTGCGTTATGTTACAGTAACATATTATGTTACTCCAAACACCTCTCTCCTCATTAACTCTATGCCACATAAGTAAACCTGTCTTGAAATGCGCTAAGTTATTTGCTAAGTTACTCTCACTATGACCAGCCTTATGTGGCATATAGTTAATGAGAAGTGATAACATAATATGTTATTGTAACATAGCGCTTTCCAAGACAAAATGAATCTATAAGCTAATTAATGAAGTCCTCTATGACACTATTACTATGTTATTTTGCACTATAAAGATAGTAATTTAGACTAGTGTCATATGCATGATACTAGTATAAGTTACTCTCCACTATGACCAGCCTAAGGCTCTATCTTTCTTCTATTAAAATTAAAATAAAATGGTAATAAAAATTAAAATAAAATAAACCGTGAATTGATTGTTTGTCCTTTTAAAAAAATCTGATGTGCATGCCTGTTGTGTATTTTCTTTAACAGAACGCAAACGTTCATACTTACGCTCATCTATATGAACGTATGCACACACACACCCTACCCCCTACTCATATGTGCATCTTTGAGAGACAGAGCTGACATATCATCTCAAGATTGACGCAGTCGCCACATACGCCTTCATAGTCGACGGGACGTCTTCTTCCACTGAACACACATCGCCAGACTGAATAAATCTAGGAAAAAGTAAAAAAAATGTTGAGAATGCACTGAAATGATGTACGCTTATGCTTTGGTACACCCCCTAAATACATTGATGGTTCAGATTTTTGCATACCCCTTCGTAATAAAAGGTAGAATGGTCCTTTTTAAATACGTCACCCACGCCCTTAGCTTTTTTTCTCTCTTTCTGTTATAACTTTAAAACAGAGCGGGCGGCGAGAATCAAACTCATAACCTCTTTGTTAAGAGAGAACCACACTAACCAACTAGGACATCTTAACTTCGTGCCTATTTACTTCTTTTTTACTTTTCTTCTTTTTTAGTTCATGGAAGCCCCGGGTTTCGCCTAACATGGGCATGCCCAACAACAACAACAACAACAACAAAGCCTTTAGTCCCAAACAAGTTGGGGTAGGCTAGAGGTGAAACCCATAAGATCTCGCAACCAACTCATGGCTCTGGCACATGGATAGCAAGCTTCCACGCACCCCTGTCCGTAGCTAGCTCTTTGTCGATACTCCAATCCTTCAGGTCTCTCTTAACGGACTCCTCCCATGTCAAAATCGGTCGACCCCGCCCTCTCTTGACAATCTCCGCATGCTTTAGCCGTCTGCTATGCACTGGAGCTTCTGGAGGCCTGCGCTGAATATGCCCAAACCATCTCAAACGATGTTGGACAAGCTTCTCCTCAATTGGTGCTACCCCAACTCTATCTCGTATATCATCATTCCGGACTCGATCCTTCCTCGTGTGGCCACACATTCATCTCAACATACGTATCTCCGCCACACCTAACTGTTGAACATGTCGCCTTTTAGTCGGCCAACACTCCGTGCCATACAACATTGCGGGTCGAACCGCCGTCCTGTAGAACTTGCCTTTTAGCTTTTGTGGCACTCTCTTGTCACAGAGAATGCCAGAAGTTTGGCGCCACTTCATCCATCCGGCTTTGATTCGATGGTTTACATCTTCATCAATACCCCCATCCTCCTGCAACATTGACCCCAAATACCGAAAGGTGTCCTTCCGAGGTACCACCTGGCCATCAAGGCTAACCTCCTCCTCCTCACAGCTAGTAGTACTGAAACCGCACATCATGTACTCGGTTTTAGTTCTACTAAGCCTAAACCCTTTCGATTCCAAGGTTTGTCTTCATAACTCTAACTTCCTATTTACCCCCGTCCGACTATCGTCAACTAGCACCACATCATCCGCAAAGAGCATACACCATGGGATATCTCCTTGTATACCCCTTGTGACCTCATCCATCACCAATGCAAAAAAGATAAGGGCTCAAAGCTGACCCTGATGCAGTCCTATCTTAATCGGGAAGTCATCGGTGTCGACATCACTTGTTCGAACACTTGTCACAACATTATTGTACATGTCCTTGATGAGGGTAATGTACTTTGCTGGGACTTTGTGTTTCTCCAAGGCCCACCACATGACATTCCGCGGTATCTTATCATAGGCCTTCTCCAAGTCAATGAACACCATATGCAAGTCCTTCTTATGCTCCCTATATCTCTCCATAAGTTGTCGTACCAAGAAAATGGCTTCCATGGTCGACCTCCCAGGCATGAAACCAAACTGATTTTTGGTCACGCTTGTCATTCTTCTTAAGCGGTGCTCAATGACTCTCTCCCATAGCTTCATTGTATGGCTCATCAGCTTAATTCCACGGTAATTAGTACAACTCTGAACATCCCCCTTGTTCTTGAAGATTGGTACCAATATACTCCGTCTCCATTCTTCTGGCATCTTGTTTGCCCGAAAAATGAGGTTGAAAAGCTTGGTTAGCCATACTATCGCTATGTCCCCGAGACCTTTCCACACCTCAATGGGGATACAATCAGGGCCCATCGCCTTGCCTCCTTTCATCCTTTTTAAAGCCTCCTTCACCTCAGACTCCTGGATGCGCCGCACAAAACGCATGCTGGTCTCATCAAAGGAGTCATTCAGTTCAATGGTAGAACTCTCATTCTCCCCATTGAACAGCTTGTCGAAGTACTCCCGCCATCTATGCTTAATCTCTTCGTCCTTCACCAAGAGTTGGCCTGCTCCGTCCTTGATGCATTTGACTTGGCCAATATCCCTCGTCTTCCTCTCCCGGATCTTAGCCATCTTATAGATGTCCCTTTCACCTTCCTTCGTGCCTAACCGTTGGTAGAGGTCCTCATATGCCCGACCCCTTGCTTCACCAACAGCTCGCTTTGCGGCCTTCTTCGCCATCTTGTACTTCTCTATGTTGTCTGCACTCCTATCAAGGTATAGGCGTCTGAAGCAATCTTTCTTCTCTTTAAGCACCTTCTGGACATCATCATTCCACCACCAGGTATCCTTATCTTCGCTTCTCCTTCCCCTGGACACTCCAAACTCCTCCGAGGCCACCTTACGAATGCAAGTCGCCATCTTCATCCACACATTTTCCGCATCCCCTCCTTCCTCCCAAGGGCCCTCCTTAAATACCCTCTTCTTGAACACCTGAGCTACCTCCCCCTTGAGCTTCCACCACTTCGTTCTAGCGACCTTGGCACGCTTATCCCGCTGGACACGAATCCGAAAGCGGAAGTCAGCAACCACCAGCTTATGCTGGG